AGCTTGCTGTGCTGTTTCCATCTCTTCGATGGCCAGTCTTCGGACTCGTTGGTCCAAATCCTGCCGGGTGCAGGGGTGCTTTCCCGTGATACTCCTGCCGTGTTTGCCGAACATGTCTGCTTTCTTTCGGGGTTTTGCCGGAGCCTCCTTGTTCTCCTGCAGCTGCTCGTCCACAATCTGCAATGGTCCAGGAGCAGAAGCGCATACCAACAGCAGACTCGGAGGCCTTCGTGGCATCTTCGACCAAGTCTGTGGTCTGCGCAGAGGCGGCCTGCTCCTCGACATCCCGCCGAGCAGCTTTCGATGCGAAATCCGAGCACACACGGAAGGGACAAACAAACCAGGCCTGATCTTCGTCGTCCCCCGAAGGCTCCTCCACCTGCGCTGTCCGGGAACTGACACACACTCCGCGCAGTCCGGCAAGCCGCCGTGCCTCCGGAAGAGCTCGGCGAGGAGACACTCGAAGAGGACGAAGTTGACGATGAGGACCTGGCCACAGGAGCAGGGCCCGGGGTTCCGGGAGAGGAGCGGTGTCGTACAACACTCTAGGATACGAGCACAAGGCACTCCTGTCACGAAAAGGCTGCCTTACAAAACCACTCATCTTGCAACCCACCGAAACCCCCCCGTAAACCCTGCCTGTCGATATGCTTGAAGATGTCGAAGACGAAGATCGCGATGAGCAGCTGGCCAAGAGGGGCCCGGGGATCCCGAGCAAAATCAAGCCAACACGCAACTACTTCCTTAAATATGCCCAGCCTAGGTTTCACATTTCCGCGGGATTCCTGATTCAGTCTCGCCAGAAGACTGCCCAAAAAACATGCCCAAGCCTAGGTTTCACATTTTTGCGGGGGGTCTCGCCCAAAAAAAACGCCCAAAAACATGCCCAGCCTAGGTTTCGCATTTTCGCGGGGGGTCGGTCTCGCCAGAAAACGTCCAAAAACATGCCCAAGCCTCGGTTTCGCGTTTTGGCGGGGGGGTCGGTCTCGCCAAAAAATCGCCCAAAACATGCTCAAGTCAAGTTTTCACATTTTCGCAAAAATTCCTGGTCTCGCAGAAAACGCAAAAACATACCCAAGCCCAGGTTTCACATTTTCGCATAAATCGCCCGAAATAACGCCCAGGGAGCGGATCTCGCTCAACAGTCTGCCAGGCTCCATCTCACCTGTCACAATCCCGGCCGGCCTCACAATTGGCCCAGCCAGAGCCCACAACGGCTGCGCTGTCTGCCTGATGTTCGGGAACATATACAGCTGACTGGGAGGTCTGGTTTGTCTGCATTTGTGTGTGTCTGAGGCTACGGCAAGCACGCCCAGGACAGTGCCATCAGCGAAAGCAATCGGAAAAGTGGCTTCTTCTTGCGCGATGCCGCTGAAACGCGTGCCATGGCGCCTGTAGGTCCTAGCTGTTCGCTGGAGCAGTAACACTCGACGAATGAAGCTCCACTCCGGGACCTGTTTCAGTTGACTCACACGCAATAGGATGTTATCCTGCGCATGTCAGTGACACTAATCGCACACCGTGAGCATGCAGAGGCCTCGGCTCAGACATGCTTGCCCAGCGGAACGTCACAGATCGGCCCTGCCGTCAACGCGGATCTTCTTCGACCTCGGCAGGCGTTTGTTGCGGGTTGCGACGCCAAACAAAGTTGTGAGAGTGCTTTGTCGACAATCGGAATCATCCCTTGACTATTGACTTCCGTGATACCGCTGCGACCCGCGTGACCCCGTGACTCCCGTGACGCCATGGTCGTGACCCTGTGACCGTGACCACCGTGAGGCCCATGACCCCCGTGACCTTTTTTCGGTGACTGCAACGAACCCCGTGATCTCCGTAATGTGACCCGCGTGGCNNCTCCATGACGCCTGTGACCTCCGTAATGACCCCCGTGACCCCTTGCTGCCATGACTCCCTTCACCCCCATGACTCCCATGACCCCCGTGACCCCCCTAGAACCCCCGGTGAGCGCTGATGTTCGCGATCAGAATAAAGTTCATTTGAAGCCAAAGATCCAAACCTGAAAAGACTTTTTGGGGTCACGCCCTCTACTTCCCGCACCCCAGTTCTCAAACCCGTACGCGCAGGCCTAAACCCTATAAACCCAAACCCTACACCTTATACATCCTTAAACCCGAAAACCCTGGACCAACGTGCTCAGCAACTGTCAGGATTGCTGGTGAAGGGCCAAGACTCACACGGGAATCGGTAAATTGGTGAATCGGTGAGCGGCGGCGCGCGCGGTGAACTGGTGAATTGGTGAATCGGTGAGAGGCAGCACCCGCGGTGAATTGGTGAATTGGTGAGCGATCTGCCCGGAATTGAGGCCCAGTCTGGACCCGCCTGGAATTGAGGCGCAGTTAGAGACCACGGGCCCAGGGCCCCAGAATTCACCGCCTTTTCCC